CCTCCGTGTTTCTCCTCTGTTTTTTTCCAAACTTGAAATGGAAATTGAATTTTGCGCCAGGTTTACAGGCTGTTAACGGAATTCACTAATCAAACCCCAATGCCAAGTCCTTGAAAATGAGAATTTAAAAAGGTCTGTATTTGCATATTCATGTTTTAATAGGGTTCAGAAGGTATATTTGCAACTGATGAAAAGGATTAATTGCATCTAATTTGCATGGTGGCGCATCTTAACCCCTTCTGCGCGGGTGGGGGTGGGGGCCAATCGCCAGGCGGCGGCCAGTGACACGGGCCTTCCCTGGGCACGTCCCTGAGCCGGGGGCGGGGCCTTCACCTCCACTCGGGCGCTGGACGCTGGACGCTGGGTGGAGCCGCACCTTCTCCCCGCCACCTGCCGTCTCCGTGGCAGCATGAGGTCCGGGGTCAGGAGTTATGCCAACAGCACAGAGGCGCCCACGTTCCCCGCTCGCCGCCGGTGGTGCCAAGTTAGCCCCGCATCAGGTGAGAGGAGAGCCGGGCCTGGCGGAGCCCGGGGCACGGCCCACGCTGGCCAGGGGAGGCGGCACCGTGGGGAGCAGCCACGAGGAATGAGCCAAGAGCCGTGGGTGCCGGTGCTACCCGGCTGCATGCGTCCCACAGGTGGCACGCGTCCCTGTGTTCTGGGCAAGTCAGGGTCAGGGCCGGGACCCGGGCAGGAGCCAACACAGAAAAAGGTAGAAGCTGGCCCAGAGCAGGAAGAAGGGTCGCCTGCCCGCAGGGACCAGGGCGACTCCACCCCATGTGGGCCCAACATTCAGGCCGCCTGCAGACCACACCACTCCGGGGTCAGAAAGCCCGTGGCCCAGTAGCCACGAGGCCCTGGTCATCCCTGTGACCAAGCCCCCGGGCACCAGGCTGCCACGGAGGGCGCCTGTCCCCTCAGCACAGAGGGGGTCCTGGCTGCAGACAGGATTCTCAGACAGCGACTGTGGTGTCACTGAGCATTAGTGGCCATCGGAGTGCACCCCCTCTCTGCTGTCTGTGGGACTGCAGCCTCCACAGGAAGGTCACTGAGGACACGGGAGGGTCACAGGTCACTGAGGGTGGCAGGAGGGTCACAGGGTCTGGGACTGGTTGGTGGAGCGCGTGGTACGTATTTGGGGGCACCAGCCTCGGGTCCGGAGGAGCAGGAGCGGCCATCAGACGCTGCGGGGAGCAGCGCGCCCTCGTGCTCACAGCCGCCGGGAGCAGAGGCCGCAGAGACTGGCTGCCGGGACCAGGGCCAGGCCCGGAGCACCTCCACGTGGACACCGCCGCCGCCACTGTGGCTCAGACTCGGAGGACGTCACTGCCCCAGGGTGAGGGGACACGGTGTCACGCAGTGGTCACTCCCACCTCCCCCATGATCCGGGGAAATGCTAAGTCACCGGGGACACCGCTCTTCAAAGGCTGAGCCAGGGTCCAAGGCGGAGCCTGGTGTTGATTGCGGAGCTGGGGCCGTGGCTGAGCCAGGTCCATGGCTGAGCCTGGGGTCCGTGGCTGAGCCCCGTCCGTGGCTGCGCCTGGCGCCTGAGTCAGGATGGTTCCCTGTGAGGCAGGGCTCTGGGCTCCTGGCTCCTCCCCTTTAACAGGAAGGTTCGTGGACGTCATTGACCTTTTCAAAGAACCAGTGTTGTTATTGCTTTTTTTTCTGTTCTTTTCAATTTCACTTGTTTCTGCTCTTTTTATATCTCCCTTCCCGCTGCCAGCTCTAGGGTTAATTGGCTCTTATTTTCAAGTTTTGGTTTGAATCCAAACAGAAGCCACACAGCCATTTAGGCAGCGAGGTCTGTGTAAACCGATGCTCCGAGGGCGGAGTGTGTCCGTGAGGGGGAGGGCATCCGTGAGGGGGAACGTGTCCGTGAGGGGGAGCCTGTCCGTGAGGGGGAGGGCGTCCGTGAGGGGGAGGGCGTCCGTGAGGGGGAGCCTGTCCGTGAGGGGGAGGGCGTCCGTGAGGGGAAGGGCGTCCGTGAGGGGGAACGTGTCCGTGAGGGGGAGCCTGTCCGTGAGGGGGAGCGCGTCCGTGAGGGGAAGGGCGTCCGTGAGGGGGAGGGTGTCCGTGAGGGGGAGGGCGTCCGTGAGGGGGAGGGTGTCCGTGAGGGGGAGGGTGTTCGTGAGGGGGAGCGTGTCCGTGAGGGGGAGGGCGTCCGTGAGGGGGAGCGCGTCCGTGAGGGGGAGGGCGTCCGTGAGGGGGAGGGTGTCCGTGAGGGGGAGCCTGTCCGTGAGGGGAGGGCGTCCGTGAGGGTGAGGGGAGGGCGTCCGTGACGGGGAGCGCGTCCGTGAGGGTGAGGGGAGGGCGTCCGTGAGGGGGAGGGTGTCCGTGAGGGGGAGGGTGTCCGTGAGGGGGAGGGTGTTCGTGAGGGGGAGCGTGTCCGTGAGGGGAGGGCGTCCGTGAGGGGGAGGGCGTCCGTGAGGGGGAGCGCGTCCGTGAGGGGGAGGGTGTCCGTGAGGGGGAGGGCGTCCGTGAGGGGGAGGGCGTCCGTGAGGGGGAGGGCGTCCGTGAGGGGAGGGCGCGTCCGTGAGGGGGAGCGCGTCCGTGAGGGGAGGGCGTCCGTGAGGGGAGGGCGTCCGTGAGGGGGAGGGCGTGTCCGTGAGGGGGAGGGTGTCCGTGAGGGGGAGGGCGCGTCCGTGAGGGGGAGGGCGTCCGTGAGGGGGAGGGCGCGTCCGTGAGGGGGAGGGCGTGTCCGTGAGGGGGAGCCTGTCCGTGAGGGGGAGGGCGTCCGTGAGGGGGAGGGTGTCCGTGAGGGGGAGCACGTCCGTGAGGGTGAGGGGAGGGCGTCCATGAGGGGGAGCGTGTCCGTGAGGGGAGGGCGTCCGTGAGGGGGAGGGGAGGGCGTCCGTGCGCGTGAGGGGGAGGCGCGTGAGGCCGTGAGGGTGAGGGGAGGGCGTCCGTGAGGGGGAGGGCATCCGTGAGGGGGAGGGCATCCGTGAGGGGGAGGGCGTCCGTGAGGGGGAGGGTGTCTGTGAGGAGGAGGGTGTCCGTGAGGGGGAGCGTGTCCGTGAGGAGGAGGGCGTCCGTGAGGGGGAGCCTGTTCGTGAGGGGGAGGGTGTCCGTGAGGGGGAGGGCGTCCGTGAGGGGGAGGGCGTCCGTGAGGGGGAGGGTGTTCGTGAGGGGAGAGGGGTGTCTGTGAGGGGGAGGGTGTCCCGTGAGGGGGAGGGCGTCCGTGAGGGGGAGGGCGTCCGTGAGGGGGAGGGTGTCCGTGAGGGGGAGCGTGTCCGTGAGGAGGAGGGTGTCTGTGAGGGGGAGGGTGTCCGTGAGGGGGAGGGTGTCCGTGAGGGGGAGGGTGTCCGTGAGGGGGAGCCTGTCCGTGAGGGGGAGGGTGTCTGTGAGGGGGAGCCTGTCCGTGAGGGGGAGGGTGTCTGTGAGGGGGAGCCTGTCCGTGAGGGGGAGGGTGTCTGTGAGGGGGAGGGCGTCCGTGAGGGGGAGGGCGTCCGTGAGGGGGAGCGCTCCGTGAGGGGGAGCCTGTCCGTGAGGGGGAGCGTGTCCGTGAGGGGGAGCGTGTCCGTGAGGGGGAGCGTGTCCGTGAGGGGGAGGGCGTCCGTGAGGGGGAGCGCTCCGTGAGGGGGAGCCTGTCCGTGAGGGGGAGGGTGTCCGTGAGGGGGAGGGTGTCCGTGAGGAGGAGGGTGTCTGTGAGGGGGGGGCGTTTGGCTCCAGAGCAGGGTATATGCCGGGGAAGTGGGGATCGCGGGGTTATGGCGGGTTTAGGGAGACGGCGGGTTTGGGGGGACGGTTGGTGGTGGATGTCAGGGAGGGGGGTGGGGTGTAGACTCCGTGGACAGGTGGGCTGCTCGGTCGTGTGCTGAGTGTCCACTCAGTCCTACCCACAGGAGACCCAGGCAGACCCAGAGTTCACAATGTTTAAGACAAAAATGACACTAAAGACAGCACCATGTTTCCTCTCAGGGATGTGGGCAGGGCAGGGAGGGGTGTCTGTGGGGGGGGTCCCCTCAGTGGGAGCTTGTGGGCGGGGAGGGGTGCCCCGGGTGGTTGGGGCTCAGTTTGTCGATAGGAAATGTTCAGAGCCAACTCTTAACCCTCGTGTTTCTGTGGTGTCAGCTGCAACATGGCTTTCAGTCCTGATCTTTTATTTGCATCCTCTTTTTTCCTAGGAGAGTCTAGCTAACATGTTACTAATTGTACCTTTTCTTAAAAGCTGCTCCTGCCTGGTCAGTGTGGCTCCATGGCTTAGTGTCAACCTATGAACCAGGAGGTCAGGGTTCAATCCCGGGCACAGGCCTGGGTTTCCAGTTCGATCCCCAGTGTGGGGCGTGCAAGAGGCAGCCAATCAGTGACTCTCTCTCTTCACTGATGGTTCTATCCCTCTCCCCTCCTCTCTGAAATCAATTTAAAAACGTGTATTTTTTAAAAACCAGGCTTTAGTCTCATTGGTCTTTAGTCTTTGAGTCTCTATTTCATTATTTCTACTCTGACATGTGCCCTTTCCTTCCATTAACGTGGGTCTCATTCGCTCCTTTTTCTTAGTTCCTCTGGGTATAAAATTGGGGGATCTTTTTGAGATTTTTCTTGGTTCTTTTTATTTTTTTAAATTCTTTATTGTTTAAAGTATTTCATACGTCTCCTTTTCCCCCCATTGACCTCTCCCTGTCCACCAGTCTCCCCGCCCACCTGTCCCCCCCTGCCCACCTGTCCCCCCTGCCCACCAGTCTCCCCACCCACCGGTGTCTCCCCCACATCCTCTGCTCACCAGTCCCCACACCCACCTGCCCCCTCCTGCCCCACCGGACCCCCTCCCCCCGCCCACCGGTCTCCCCGCCCACCTGTCCCCCCTGCCCACCGGTCTCCCCACTCACCGGTGTCCCCTCACTCCCCCTGCTCACCGCCCCCCCCCCCGCAGTCCTCCTGCCCACCTGCCCCCTCCTGCCCACCTGTCCCACAGGCTCCCATGCACCCAGGGGTCACACCAGTAAAACCACCGTCAACCAGACACAGAAGAACTCACAATAAAACCCACACAAACAGCGTTCAGTCTTTCTTTGCAGGATTTTTTAGTAGACATAGCCTTTCTTTTCTCCATTTACAGCAACATTGCAAATATAGAAGTATTTCACTGTACATCGGACAGCCAGAGGGATGCTGGGACCCTGCCTGCCTGCCCTCCCCCATGTCCACAGGCGCCCCTTCCCGGCCCGGGTCCAGCTCCAGGGCACTCGGCCGCAGCACTTCCCTCCGCCTTGGCGTCCACGGGTGGCACCAGACGAGCGGACAGAGCCCGACCACGGACAGAGCATGCGCGGGCCGGGCCAGGCTCCCACGTCTGTTCTGACTTTAAGAGGACTTTACTTTTATTATTTAAAAAGAAATCAGGAAAGAGAGAGAGAGAAGTCAGGAAAGAATCAAAAGAGGAAATATACTGAAAAAGAAGGCCCCACCCCACCCCCCATCCCTAAGACACAGTTTTCCGAAGTCCCTTGTGTGTGTGTGTTCTGTGTGTACACGTGTGCAAGTACATGTATGTTAAGTGTGTGAACTGCAGTGAGTGTGCATGTTGCCAGTGTGTGCACACATGTGCATGTGTGTGGACAGACCCTCCCCCCGTGAGTGTCCAGGGCAAGTCCACCCCTCCCTGCTTTCTCTGTAGGGCCCCAGCTTTACCTGCTATCCTGTGAGTGTGTGATTGTGTATGTGTATGATTGTGCCTGTGTGTAGTTATGCATGTGTGAATGTGTGTCTGATTGTGCATGTGTGTGTGTGCGTGATTGTGTATGTGAACGATTGTGCCTGTGTGTGAATGTGTGTGTGACTGTGGGTGTGTATGAGTGTGTGCGCGTGTGCTCACATGTATGGTTGTATGCTCGAGTGTGCGTGTGCGCGGCACGCGAGAGTCCGGGTGGAGCGGCTGGGCCCGCCCTCGGCCCGCTCAGGACTTGTGCTGGGCGGACACGCCCTTCCAGTAGTCCAGGATGTCGTGCAGGTCCTCGTCCTGGGCGAACTGCACCTTCCTGCGCAGCGCGTGCCCGGCCGCCACGCACTCCTCGCGGTCCCTGCGCGGCCGGCGGCTCAGGCGGAGGCGCTCCCAGACGCTGTGGGCGGCGCGGCAGGCGGCCGCGGGCCGGGGGCTGGCGGGGCGCAGGGGGCGGCACTGCCGCGGCGACAGCTGCGAGTAGGCGGGGTCGCGGGGCCGCGCCCGGGTCAGCGGCTCCAGGATGGACGCCTTGCGGCCGCTCGGGCCCTCGGGGGGCAGGGGGGCCGGCGGCGAGGGCGGCTCCGCGGGGCGGGGGCCGGGGTAGGAGTGCCGGTGCTCGCTGTACGGGCGGCCCTTCTCGGCCTCAGCCCGCAGCACGGCGGCCTCGGGCGTCACGGTGAGGATGGCGTCGGCGGCCGGCGAGCTTTTCTCGATGTACTTGGCCTCGGAGGCCGCGGCCTTGTGCGCGCCGGCCGCCTCCGCGCCGAAGGCCCTGGGGCTGCGGGAGGAGCTGCTGGAGGAGGTGCTGGTGCGGGGGGCGCCCTCGGCGCCGTGGTGGCGCTGCGGGCCGTGGCCGAAGGGGTCCTGGTACGCGGGCGACAGGAAGCCGTGCTTGCCGGCCAGCGGCTCGGCCAGCAGCACCAGCTGGGGCTCGGCCGCGGCCTCGGCCTTGAGGGCGTCGATGCAGTTGTTGATGATCTGGTTGACCTTGTCCACCTCCTTGGTGATGGTGGAGATCTCGGTGGCCGAGCCCTGCCGCGGTGGCTCCCCGGTGCGCACCTCCAGGTAGCTGCCCTTGCTGGCCTTGGGCGTCTCGCTCTCCGCCGGCTTGTACGGCTCCGCCTCGCCGGCGGCCGCGGGCACGAACGGGAGGCGGGCCGGGGGCTCGGGGCCCAGCAGCGGGCCCTGGGACAGCGGGGCCAGGCCGGGCACCTCCGCCTCCGGCCCGTACCGGAGCTCCAGGATGGTCTTCGTGAGGCCGCCGGCCGCGGCCGCCGCCCGGTGCTTCTCCCCGCGGCGGCGCCGGCGCAGGCCGTAGTAGACGGCGCCCAGCACCAGCACCATGCCGAACAGGCAGCCCAGCACCGTCATGATGTAGTGCGTGGCCGTGGCGGGGCGGGGCCCGGGGCTGGGCGGGCTGGGCGGCGGCGGCAGGCAGAGCGTGAGGCAGGTGTGGTTGTGCAGCTGCCCCGAGCTGGCGGACACCACGCAGTAGGTGTAGTTGGTGAGCACGGCCAGGCCGGGCAGCCGCACCTCCTGCAGCGGCCGGGTCAGCCGGTACACGGTGGACGGCCGGCCGAGGTGGAAGTGCTCCAGCGTGTACACGCGCGTGAAGGGGCTGGGCAGCTGCACCATGAGCGTGGCCGAGTCCCCGGTCAGCTGCTTGACGCGGAGGAGCGGCCGCGCCTCGGCCCGGGGGGGCAGCGTGGGCAGGGCGGCCAGCGGCGTGGTGCCGTCGCCCGAGAAGCAGTCCTCGGCAGCGCAGGGCGCCTCGCTGGGCTCCGGCGGCGGGGGCGGGGGCGGGGGCGGGCCGAGGCCGGGCGCCGGGCGGGGCTCGGGCGCCGGGGGGTCCTCGGCCCCGTAGGCACCGTCCGTGCACACGGCCTGCAGCGTGCCGAGGATGCCGCGCTGGCCGTGGCCGCGGCCCAGCAGGAAGTAGCCGGCGTAGGGGGGCGGGGCCTCGCACTGCACGCGGTCGTGGGTCTGCGTGGCGTTGGCGAAGGCGGCCAGCCAGCGCAGGAAGCCCAGCAGCTCGCAGGAGCAGAAGAAGGGGTTGCTGTAGAGCTCGCAGGCGGAGAGGCGGGCCAGGCCGGCGAAGGTGGCGCCGTGCAGCCGCTGGATGCGGTTCATGGACAGGTCGATGTTGAGCACGTTGGGGCAGCCGCCGAAGGCGCCGGGCGTGACCACCTCGATGCGGTTGGCCTGCAGGTACAGGTACTCGAGCCGGCCCAGCCCGCGCAGCGCCCCCTCCGTGAGGTTGCGCAGCCGGTTGTAGCCGAGCTGCAGCACCTGCAGGTTGAGCTGCCCGGAGAAGGCGCCGTCCTCGATGTAGGCGATCTCGTTCTTGGTGAGGTTGAGGTACGTGAGGTTGCCGAAGCGGCTGAGCGCGGCCTGCGGCAGGCCGTGGATGCGGTTCTCGTTCAGCCGCAGGTCCACCACAGTGCTGTTGATGTGCTGCGGGATGGCCTCGTAGGGCGGCTGGTTCTGGCTGCAGATGGCCAGCCACACGAAGCCCTTGTCGCCCTCGATCAGCCAGCAGTCGGCGTGCGCCAGGCCGCCCGCGTGCAGCAGGGTGGCGGCCGCCAGGCACGCCCACGCCCACAGCGCAGCCCCCGGGCACCGGGCCATGGGGATGGCTGGGGGGGCCGCCCCGCCTGCCCAGGGGGACGGGGTGGGGCCGGGAAGCTGCCTGGGAGGAGGGCGGGGAGGAGAGGGCCCGCACTCAGGCGCGTCCTGCCCTGGGCCACATGGTCACGCGCCCCTCACGGCCGGGCACCTCGCGTCGTCCGCCGGCCGTGTCCCGTGGCCACCGTGGCCTCCATCCCCATTGGCCTGGGCGTCCAGCGGGCCCTGCAGTGAGAACGGGATGAGGAGAGAGGTCAGGAGCCGCCAGCAGCCCTCGCCCAGGGGCCCAGTGTCCAGCCGGCTGAGCCGCCCAGTCTGATGCTGGCTGAGAACAGGCTGCTCCATTCCACCCGCCCAGGCTGGGCTCCTGCCCCTGAGGCCTGGCCAGGGCACTGCGGCCGCCGGACAGCCACCCAGGACGGCGCAGGGACAGCCGGACTCTGGTCCCCGCCCCCGCCCTCCCCTCTGAGCCCGGGCCTCACCTCTGCCCTCCCCTCCCCAGCCGTGTGCAGGGACAGGACTGTGGACAGGGCGGGGCTGCAGGCAGCGGGGGGGATGTGGGGACGTGGCCCGGGGACCGCTGTGGGGCCGCCCGCGCTGCCTCCGGACAGAGGAGTCGGTAGTCTTGTTAACGTGGGTGGTTGCCAGCCTCGGGCCTGGGCCAGGTGGCGGCCAGCTGAGCGCGTCCCTGATGGCGAGTCTGCGGTGGCCGCACGGGTGACCCGAGGAACGTGGGAGGGGAAACGTGAAGAAGGATCAGACGTAAAGAGAAGGGGGGCTGGGGAGCCCCCTGGGAGCCCCCGTGGCCGTGTGACCCTCACCAGGACGGCCCCTCCGGGCAGCCAGGTCCCCCATGGCCTGGCTACGTCCTCTGGGGGGCTCAGGCCTCATCCCACAATGCAGTCACCCCCAGCACGTGCCACCCCGAGCGGACAGCCTGGCGATACTGGGCTGTATGCCCCCCGGGCTCCTGAGGCCTCAGCTGGGGGGCTGGGGGAGGGCGGGGGGGGCTGATGTGAGGGGCTGGGGGGGGCTGGGGGGGGCTGGTTTGTGAGGGGCTGGGGGGGGCTGGTGGGGGGCTGGTTTGTGAGGGGCTGGGGGGGGCTGGTGTGGAGGGGGCTGGCCAGGCTGATGAGAGGCTGGCTCCTGCTCCTGCTCCAGCCTCCGGGAGGCGGTGTGTGTGGGGGAGACGCAGGCCTGGAAGTGTGGCCTCAGCACGCGGATCCTAATCACCTCTAATCTCTTGCTCAAAATAACCCAAAGTCAACCTGAGGAGGATTACAGCCTAAAGAGCCCTTATCAGGAGGCGGCGAAGGGGCCTCCCGCCCCCACTCCCAGGGCAGCTGAGCGCTCTCCTGCTCCCACACTGCACACGTGTGTCATCGCTCCACCACGGGAGCCCCCGGGACTCGAAGACAGCACGCCCAGTGCTGGAGGCCCCGGCTCCCGGCGGGTCCCCGGCTGCCTCGCCCGCACACTCACTTCCTGTCGCTGGTCCTCATGGGCGGGAGGGGGCGCCGCCCGGGGCCGACGCTGTGGATGGGCGAGCTGTCTGGACGTCCCGGGCCTCCCAGCTCCTCACCCACCAGGCCTCCCAGCTCCTCCCGGCCGCCCATCCATCCAGGGAGGCTGGCCCGGGTCCCAGGCGGCCGTCCGCCCGCTGGCTCAGCAGGGTCCTCGCACGGGGCACGGGCACGGGGCCCAGGGTCCGGGGTCCGGCCGGGCGGGCCCGGCGCCTGCACCATGGCCCTCGCCCCAGGCGCGGGGGGTCGCTGAGGGGCGGCTGGGCCTCCCTGCCTCCAGGCCGGAGGAGCAGCGCGTGGGCAGCCGACGTGGCCGCACAGGGTGACCTGTGACCCTCAGATGGACACGGAGGCAGGAGAGGGGGCGGGGCCAGCACAGGAGAAAGCCAGGATGTTCCGAACCCAAGGGCCTCGGCGTCTCCGTCCACCCCCACCCGGTCAGCCGCGGCCCTGGACCTCCGGGGCCCAGGGCCGGGGCCCGAGCCGTGTGTCCGGGGGGACAGGGGGAGGCTCCCGGGTGCTGCCGGCCTCCCCCCTCCTCCCGGCAGCTCCGGCCGAGGAGTTAATTAGGACGAGGCTGATGTCGGTTATGCTTCCGCTGGGCGGCTTCTTAAATTAAAAACCGAAGCGCCCGTCGCTGGAGGAGACATCGCACGGCGGTGGCGGCGCTGGCCGGACGCGGGATGTGGGGCGGGCGGCGGGCGGCGGGCGGGGACCACGAGCCACCCTCTCCAGGAACACGTCACCCGCCCGCGGGGCCGCCCCCACCCTGGCAGCAGGCAGTCCTGTCTGCGGTCTGGCCTGGGTCTCCCAGCTGTGGAGGGAGGGCGCCTGGACACGAGGCAGAGAAGTCCTTCTGCACCCGGACCCCGGAGGCCCCACAGGGGCCCTGCCAGCCTGGCCTGGAGGGAGGGGGGCTGACACGGGGATCTCCTGGGACACGCAGACACGGCTCTCCCTGCGTCCCACCCTCCCAGCCGCGGTGACGGGGTCAGGCCCCCTCCTGCAGCTGTCGCCGGTTGAAGAGTTGGCCAGGCTTTGGGCGGACGCCGTGAGCGCGTGATTGGCCGCAGAGACGAGGCTAGAGGGAGAGACCACGCCGCAGGGTGCCCTGTGGGGCAGGAGGCAGGCGGGCTGCGCCGTGGGGTGAGCCGAGGGGGAGCCCTGTGGCCGGGGCTCGGAGACCCTGTGGAGGACAGGCCCGGGGAGGCGGGGCTGGGGGCTCAGGTTCTGGTGAAGGGGCAGCTCTCAGGTATTTGTGGGATTCTCCGCACACCTCGGCTGGGGTTAATATTTTACAATCGGTGAAATATTTATCAGAGATTCCTTAAGTATTGAGACTCCCTGGATATTTTATAGTAAATTTTTAAATGTTTTGAAAAGGGTCGGCCGTGTGCCGGAGGCCCAGGGCGTGCGGGAGGGGCTGGGCAGAACCGCCCTCCAGCGTGTAAACGCCGCTCTGGGCCCGTCAGGCTGGACCGCGTCCGGGTCTGTTTGGAGGGCGTGTCCTCCAATCCCGCTGTGACCTCTGCCAGAGGACCGGGCAGCGGAGCCCCGGGGGGTGGGGGGCAGAGGCTGGGAAGCAGCAGGGCTGCCCCTGGGTGCCGCCACGGCCCCTGAGCACAGGCCCCGGCGCAAACGGAGGCCTCGGATCTCGGGGGCCAGGAGGGGGGTGTCCTCTCCCGGCAGCACAGTCCAGCAGACGGAGCCACCACGGGCGTCCTGCCCTCCGAGGGCCCCTCCCACCGGAGCCTCCCGACCTCACACTGAGGAGGGGCTGGCAGAGGGGCTCGGGCCGGTGCACGTAGCCTGGGGCCTGCCAGAGGCTTGGGCAGAGGCTGGACCCGCCTCCGTGGCGCCGGCTCTGGCTCCTCAGCCCTCGCATCCCGTCCACAGGCGGTAAGGCACCCAGCGGGCGCCAGGCACCGTGGTGGACAGGGCAGCACTCGCCGAGGTGCCTGAGGCCTAGGAGAGCCTCCCGACTCCGCCGCTGCCCCCTGGGCCCAGCGAGCGAGGGTGTTGTCCCTGAGTCACAGCAGAACCAGAGAAGGGCCTCCACACACACACACACACACACACACCCGGGACCTCAGCCTCTGCCGCCGCCGGTCCCCGCCCCCACCACCACCGCCACCGGGAGCAGGTGAGCGCGTTTCGCCTGCAGACGGAGCTGCCACCTGCTAACAGCGGCCCGGCTGCACCGAGCGCCCGCCCTGCTCCTCCTGGGAACCCGCGGCCGCCCCGGGCTGAGCGCCTGAGAGCTGCGGCTCTGGCCGCCGGACGCCGTGTCCGTGCTGCAGCGAAGTCCTCGCTCAGGAAAGGGCTCCCTCCGGAGGCTCAGGCCCGGGCCCCAGGGGCGGTGGGGAGGGAGAGGTGCTCCCCACCAGGGCAGCTCCCAGGACGCACCTGGCACGTGAACCTGGACGCCAGCCGGTGGGGGCGCCTGGGTCAGAGGTCGGGACGTGGCTCGGAGGAGGGGCCGCCCGGGAGCTGGGCCCTCTGTGGCAGCCGGAGCCGGCCTAGCCAGGCCCAGACCCGGCTCCCAAACCCGGCACGTGGCCTCGGACAGCGCAGGAGCAGGGTCCGGATGGCAGTCGGTGCCGGGGCAACCGGCCACGGGGCCGTCGTGGGCACAGCGGGCACGGGCCGGGCTCGGGGCCACGTCCCCCCCTGACAGCGGGCAGGCGTGGCCTCGCCGCCCTCCCCGCCCCCGCGCCCTCTCTGCCGAGAAGAGCGAGTCCCCGTGGGGTTCCGCGCCCGGTGGACAGGTCTCTGCCGCGTGTGGCCAAATGGGTCCCTGGCTGACACAGCACAATAAACGCTGAGTAATTTTGTTAGAAAGTGCTCTCCGCATAATTGCTTTCCGAGCTGCCGGTCCACCGGGGAGGAAGTCCGCCCGCTGGCCGGCCTGCCCGCGCCCCGTCCCCGCGCCGCCCCCGTTTTTAATAAAGCCGGAGCAGGCCCCGGCCCGCCCTCCCAGGGCCCCGCCGCCAACCGGAGTTTAATAACATTGTTTTCTTTCCAGCGAGGTTATTTTTATGATTATGAGTTCTATTTATGGCGAGGGAGGCTGGTTTTCCATTTGTAGCGTGCCATAAAACTTCCCTCTTAAATAAATACGTTTAGGTTTTTTAAAAGTGAATTTAGAGGAAAGTGGAAAGAGCGCAGAGGGAAGGGGGGCCCAGCCCCACGTCAGCTGCCTGCGCCCTGGGCGAGGGGAGCGACCGGCAGGTCAGGGAGGGCTGCCCGCACCCACGCCTGCTGGGGGCTGTCCGTCAGCCCGGGGGGCGGGGGGGGGCGGCCGGCCGGGCACGGGGCCGGGAGTGGGCGTCCTCCATGGGCCAGGCGGCGGGAGGCGGGCGCTGCGGCAGAGCCGGGAGCTCGCCTGGTAACCCAGCCGCTAACTCAAAGGCCGGCTCCTGCCAGTCCGCCCGGAGAGGCCCGACTTCAAAAGCCGGCCTCGGGGCGCGGCGTGACCTTTTCCTAATTAGCTCAGCTGTTGGCTTGGCAGCCGCCAGCGGCTCTGCGGACAGGGCTCCCGCTCCAGCCACCGCTGTCCCCAGGGGGGCAGACCTCTGCTCCGAGCCGGGCGCCTGCGGGGGTCGGGACCGGGCGACGGCTGCCCCAGCGTGGGCAGGTCCCCGGCCCCTCACGCGGCTCCGCGGGGAAGCGTCCCCCAGACCAGAGAAGGAACCGAGGCAGGAGGAGGGGCCGGGCTCAGCTCCACAGCTCCAGCCTCGGTGCCGTGGTGGGGTACCCGCGGTGGGGGTGCCCACGTGGGGGTGCCCGCGGTGGGGGTGCCCGCGGGGGGTGCCCACATGGGGGTGCCCGCGGTGGGGGTGCCCACGTGGGGGTGCCCGCGGTGGGGGTGCCCACGTGGGGGTGCCCGCGGTGGGTGCCCGCGTGGGGGTGCCCGCGGTGGGGGTGCCCGCGTGGGGTGCCCGCGTGGGGGTGCCCGCGTGGGGGTGCCCGCGGTGGGGGTGCCCACGTGGGGGTGCCCGCGGTGGGGGTGCCCACGTGGGGGTGCCCGCGGTGGGGGTGCCCGCGGTGGGGGTGCCCGCGGTGGGGGTGCCCACGTGGGGGTGCCCACGTGGGGGTGCCCGCGGCGGGCCCGGCGGCTCGGTCCCTGGTGCTGAAGGCAGCGCCGGCCAGGCCCGAGCCTGCCTCAGGTCACCCGGGGTCACAGACCGCGGGCAGGCTCCTCGGACCCGGTCACACTCAGTGAGGCAGCGTCCAGGGCCCAGCCTCGACCTCTGCACCGGGAGGTCAGGGTTCGATTCCCGGTCGGGGCACAGGCCCGGATTGCACGCTCCTCCCCCGTGGGGGGCGTGCAGGAGGCAGCCGGCCCGTGATTCTCTCAGCATCGATGTTTCTCTCTTCCCCTCTCTCTTCTTCTCTGAAATCGTAAAAAAATAAAATAAAATAAAAGTGTATTTTTTTAAAGAGCACGTTCTCGGGACAAGGTCCCAGGACCGGGAACGGGGGGAGGAGGAGCGGGGGGGGGGGGGGGGGGGGAGAAGGGGGTGAGAGAATGAGAGGAGGGGAGAGGCAGGAAGGAAGGAGACAGTTCAAGGTGCTGAACGGGTCTCGGAAGGGAGCGCCAGCCTCGCTCCTGAGAAGACAGGAGACAGGGAGCCTCCATCTGCCCCGCCACCTGCCCTCCCAGGTGGGCGCGGAGGCACCACCCACAGTCCCCGGGCTCTCGTGTCTGCCGCCCGGCGAGGAGGGGAGGGAGCAGGCAGTGTGGCTGGGGGAGGGAGGGGAGGTGCCGGCTCCTGGGAGGAGGGCGGGGGGGGGGCGCGTCAGGGCTCAGGGCTGCGGCCTGGGGGAGGGAGGGGAGGTGCCGGCTCCTGGGAGGCGGGCGGGGGGGGGGGGCGCTTCAGGGCTCAGGGCTGCGGCCTGCAGGTGCAGGATCCTGGGCTGGGGAGGCGGGACCTCAGGGGAAGGGGAGGAAGCTGAGGGGGTGTCTGCGGGGCGCCTGCGTCAGGCTTAGGAGGGGCACCCTGTATGCTGAGCGCCTACTGTATGCCCGGAATCCACCCCCACCCCCACCCCACCGAGCGCCCGCCTGGGGCGAGTCACCCCCACTTCACAGGTGAAAGCCGGGAGCTGGGGGTCAGGTGCGGAGAGGGGGTCCCGGGCACACGGGGGGAGGGCACCGGGCGTCACCGGAGTGACAAGGGCCTGTGTCAGCACCCGAGCCCCCCGGCGGCCCTGTCCGTCTCCACGCGGCCCCGGGCCTGGCCCGTCCCCCTGCGGCCACGGCCCCGTGCGGCTCCGGGAGCCGGAGCGCGGCCAGAGCGATGCCCGCCCGCCACACGGCCCTCCCCGGCCGCCTCAGGGACCCGCCCGGGCTTCAGACAGGGCACTGAGGCCGGAGGGGAAGGGTGGCCGTGACGGGCCAGGACCCAGCCCGCTTCCTGAGGATGTCAGCGGGAGGTCCTCACTCCCCGCCCCCTCCAGACCTGGAGCACCCTAGACGGGTCTCCAGCATCGCCGAGCAGGGCCTGCCCCCCCCCCGCAGCGCTGGGTGGAACAGCGAAGGAGTGACCATGGCCTGGCCGCCCGGCCCGCCCACCTCTGCCCGCTGGTGCCCACTGCCCAGCTCGAGCCGGTCCTTGGCTTGGCTGCCTCTGCCCTCTGCCCTCTGCCCTCTGCCCTCTGCCCTCTGCCCTCTGCCCACGGCACCCTCCCTCCCGCTCAGGCCCCCCCCCAGCCACCTCCGAGTGTCACTCAGCCACGGAGACATTCGGGGAGCAGCCGACCCAGCAGAGAAAGGTGGGTCCTGAGGGGGTGTCCCCTCCAACCTCCAGGCGGGGTCACTGTACATGAACCCAGGCCACGGGACCCTTCGCAGGCGGAGACGGCGGGCGAGCCATCGACTGCGAAAACCCAGCCTCAAACCCAGGCTCCCCACACCCTGTCCCTCACCAACAGCACCTCCTGGGAGGACGCTGGACAGGCGGAGCAGGCCGCCCCCTCCTCAGACCCTCCAGCTCCCCGCCACCCCAAGGCAGGGTCCTCCCCTCTGACCGGGAGCCCATCTCCGAGGGCCTCTGCTCCGCAGACGGGAGCTGCCCCAGGCCTGTCCCAGGACCCGGCAGGCGGGCCTGTGCGGAGCCGCTGAGCAGGACGCTTACCTGGGCCGGGCCTCAGGGGCAGGCGGGGCTTCCTCTCCCCCGGGTCAGGGTGGCTCTCCTTCCCGCACAGGAAGGAGGATGAGCCGAGGCCGCGCAGTGGCCGGAGGTCCCGTGGCCGGTCCTGCAGAGGGACGGGGAGTGAGCGGGCGGCCTGCAGCCTCGGCACCGGGCACCCGTACCCCTCAGCCAGAACCCCTCCCTGAGGGCTCTCTCCACCTCCCGCCGCCCCCGTCTCTGCTCGGCTCAGGCCTCGCCCAGGCTCCCAGTCCTGGCTCCGCAGCCGCTCGCGGCCCAGCCCCAGCACTGAGCACCGGTCTGTGCCCAGGACGGTCTGTCGCCTCCCTCACCCTCCCTCCTCACTGCCCCACCCCCACTGGCACACGGGGAAACTGAGGCGCGGAGAGGAGCCCTCCTCCCGGCTCAGAGCCGGAGGGAGCCGGAGCCGGAGCCGCAGTCTGTGCGTGACCGGCGGCACGGAACCCACCCACTGCGGCCGGGGAGGGGTGCCCAGAGGCAGGGAGGGGTGTATCTGGGACGAGGTTTGGGGGGCGCTCGGTTCACCTTGAGCCCCTGGAGGTCAGTGGTGACCCTCAGGAGGACCTGTGTCCCCTGCTCGGTCTGCCTGCGCCCCCCTAGACCCTGCTCCCAGGCTCCTGGGCTCCTGGGCTGGGAGAGGGACACCAAAGGGAGGAGGAACCTGCCTGGTGAGGAAGTGTGTGAGAGTGTGTATGAGTGTGAGTGTGTATGAGTGTGAGTGTGAGTGTGTGTGTGAGTGTGTGTGTGTGTGTGAGTGTGTGTGAGTGTGAGTGTGTGTGTGTGTGTGTGTGAGTGTGTGTGAGTGTGTGTATGAGTGTGAGTGTGAGAGTGTGTGTGTGTGTGTGAGAGTGTGTATGAGTGTGAGTGTGAGAGTGTGTATGAGTGTGTGTGTGTGTGAGTGTGTGAATGTGTGTATGAGAGCGTAAGTGAATGTATGTATATATGTATGAGAGTGACAGTATGTGTGTGAATATGTGAGTGTGTGTGTGTGTGAGTGAATGTGTGTGTGAGTGTGAGAGTGTGTATGTTGTGTGTGTAAGTGAATGTGTGTGTGTGTGTGAGTGTGAGTGTATGTGAGAGTGTGTGTGTGAGTGTGTATGTTGTGTGTGTAAGTGAATGTGTGTATAAGAGTGTGAGTGTGAGTGTATGAGTGTGTGTGTGTGTGTGAGTGTGTGTGTGTGTGTGTGTGTGTGTGTGAGAGTGTGTGTATGTGTACGCAAGGCACACACGCAAATAGATGAGTGAGTGGCATGTAATTACCTAAAATTGTTGGTTAGAAGCGGATGTAAATACCCAAAAAATACGGGGAAGTGGGGGGAATGTTCATCAATTACAGCTAATTACTTAACAGCTAATTGAAATAATAATGGTCTGTATTTGAATATGCAAATGAGGCTGAGCCCTCCCGGAAAAGGTAACTGGAATAAAAATTGAGAGGATGTGGGGACTCAGAACTTCCAGGCTGGGACCCAGCTCCGGGGGTGCTGCACCCCTCCCTACCCCAGGCCTTTGCCCACACTGGGGACCCCCCAATGCCCTCCCCCAGCCCTGCCCCAGCGCCACCTGCTCTGCTCTCCTGGGTCCTGGTGCCCAACAGCCCAGCTCCTCTCCGACTCCTAGCAAAGGCAGGAGGGGGGGCCCCCATGGGATCAAAAGCCAGGCCGCCCTTGGGGGCACCGTGGTCCCTCCCTGATGGCCAGTGGGCTCTGCGTCCTCCCCCCCACACTGTGCACCTCCCCACTCACCCCCAACGGCGTCACCTGCAGATGCACAGACTCCAGTCCAAGGGCCCTGCCAGGCCTGTGTGCCCTGCGCCCACTCCCACCTGCTCTGTCCCCAACCAGCCCGGGGCGGGGGGCACAGAGGGTGGGGCTGGCGCTGGGCTCCTGGGGGAGTGGGGCGCACGCGATGCCTCTGGAATGGGGTGAAGCTGGTGGAACTCCAGGAGCCCCGCCGATGCCCCCGGGGTGGCCTTGATAAGCCCTGGAATGCTGTGCCTCAGTTTACCCCGTCAAAATGCCGTGACAGTGACTGCCTCTCGGGGGTCACAGCCCGGCTTGTCTGAACCCACAGGCCTGGGAGCCCTGAAATCCTCAGAGGCCCCCTGGGCAGGAGTGGCCACAACACCCCACCCTGGCAGTGCAATGCAGTGATATTTGGGGTCCACCTGGGCCCCCAAAGACCCTCCTGGGGTCCACATCTCCACCTGCAGGTGGGAACACGCCTGGGGTTCCACAGGTGAGAACTGAGCCCAAACCCATCGATGGGATTGTCGAGGCGCTAATCAGCCCAGGAGCGTGGCTCCCGGGATGCAGATGGGTAAACTGAGGCTGCAAGAGGCAGTGGGCAGACGGTGAGGCCCCCTCAGGCCCCGTGGGCGGCTGGGTGAGCCCTGCACCCCGCCCTCCAGTGCCCCTCAGGCAACGAGGAAGCCAGGGGAGCAAAGCCCAGCCTCGGGAGGCACAGGCTGGGGGAGACGCGCCCCAAGCCCTCCTCCCCCCCCCCCCCAGACAGCCTGGTGAGAGGGTGGAAAATGAGGCCCAAACTTGACATTTGCATTTCAAACACTCATATCAGCACAACAGATAACAGTAATTATGCCATTTGCATATTTTGTGTGATGGCTGTTTAGCCCGAGGGAGGGGGCGCCTGCTGACGCCAGCAGCCTCTCCCCACAGCTGCACCTGCCCCCCCATCCCGCCTCCTCCCAGCCCCCCAGCCAGGAGGCCCGGAGCAGGGAGAGGGGCGCCCTCCCCCGCCACGAGCTAGGCAGGCCTGACGGAACCGGGAACCCCGTCTGTGAAACGGAGGGGGGGTGGTGTTGCTGGCGCTCTGGGGCCCTGCAGGTGCACCCCGCATTACCTGCCACCCTCAGGCCCGGCCCTGCTTCCCCCTCCCCCGGCATGTGGCCCCTCAGAACCTCTCACTTGAGGGTCCCCAGCCAAAGCCCCCCCCCCCCCACTCCTCAGCATTCGCAGGCCTCACTGCTGGCCCAGACCACTCCTGGCACACGGGGCCCTTCTCACCATCCCATTGTTCTCCCTCCCTCCCTCCCTCCCCTCCCCTCCCCACCCAGGGCCCCCCAGGAAAAGCCCTCAGACAGACGGACAGACGGATGGACAGCCGCACCCCTTTCCAACACCGTGTGGTTCCCCGGAGCCGCCCGGTGGGGCCCGGCACCGTCACCAGATGGAGAAACTAAGGCTCCAGCTGGGACGGCCCTTCCCCAAGGTCACAGGTGGGATCTGTCCGGTCGGCCTGACCTGGCTCTCAGCCGGGCTACGCCCACAGCACAGGCTCCTCCCGGTGAGGGCACTCAGGACGGGAGCCCGAGCACCCGCTTCGGACGGAGAGGACACGGCCGACGCCGGGCCGGCCGGCTGTGCTGCTGCCGCCCCTGGGCTCTGGGTGTGAGGTCGGCAGAGGCTCCGCCTGGGCAGCCGGTGCTCATTAGGCCCCACCATCCCCGCGGGCTGCACACGCCCCCCCCCCCACTCCCCCAAAGCCGGAGGGACGGGTGGGAGGGTCGGGTGTCGGGCTGGGGCTGGGGGCAGAAGCCCAGGCGGTCCCTCCCCCGGAAACCTGAGCAGCAATTAACTCCTTCCCGCCGCAGCCAAGTCCAGGCGGAGCTCCCGCTGCCGGTGAAATATTAGCCCTAAACACGCCGTGGAAACAGAATCCAATTCCGATCGGCCTCAGGAGGCGGCTCCCGGGGCCGAGGCGGCGAGCAGATCGGGAGAGGAGGAGAGGCAGGGCCGCCGTGGGAATGAGGGAAAGGAACGCAAACAGTGACAAACGAAAAGGTGGGCGACACCAGGGGGTGGCGGCCAGTGTGACAGCAGTGACACTGCTCTCCCCGCGCGGACCCCGTGGGCGGCGAGGGAACCCCACGGGCAGGGCCACCCGAGGGTGCAGACGCCGCAGAGGGGCAGCGGGTGGGGGCCGATGCTCGGGGGATGGTCGCCTCGTTTCAGAGACGAGAGTGACGCCCGTCAGGCTCACCAGCTAAGCCACGATCTGAGCCCACCACCCGCCGTCAGCCCCGGAGGCTTCCCTGGACAAGCCCGTCCCTGAGGGCAGCGGAGGGAGCAGCCACGGCCTGAGCGCCCAGTCACGGGCAAACCGGGCAGAGGCTGGTCGCTGTGGACCGTGTGGCCAGCCCTCCCCACGCAGCCGGCGGACACACGGACTCCGACAGCCTGGGCCGCAAGGCGACCGTGAGGGCCGGTCCATCCGCTGCCCCCACGCTCCCGCCAGGCAGCCCTGGGGGACCCAGGGGACCAGCGGGCGGGCGAGGGGCCCCGCCTCCACCTGGCAGAAAGGTGGTGCTTTCACTCCCGCGGGGTCCCCACACCTGGGCAGTGCGTGTCGGGTGTTGGGGCTCCTCGGTGGAGGTGGTTCCGTCTCGGGGCAGTGGGGGGGGGGGCGCTCCAGGTCCAGCACACGCCTGTGGGCCATGGAGGAGCCAGGAATCCCCTCCCGGCCACGCCCACCAGCTCCTCCTCGCCGGCCCTTGGTGAGGGCACCCGGTTGCCATGGGAACCCTGCCAGCTGAGCGCTGACTTCGCGGGCGGGCTGCGGCCAGCAGAGGGAGAAGCTGCTGGGCCTGCCTGGCCCACAGCAAAGGTCTCCGGGACCAGGCAGAGGGCAGAGGGGGCAGGGAAGCCGCCGTGCAGGAAGCAGAGGGGGTGACGGCGAGGGCACCCTCGGCCCTCCACGGGGAGGGGGGGGAGGGGGCGGGGCCTGCGTCTGCCCAGGGCTGGCGGGGAACCCTGGCGAAGGCTGCCGGAGCCTCAGTTTCCCTCCTGAGGAAGCGGGTGGAGAGCACAGACCGGGGGGCGGCCGGCCCACACCGGCTCCCGGGGCCCCCGGGCTGACCCCACCCAATGCCTCCCCTCCTGCTGCTTACGGGGGCGGGGGGACCTGCACACCCTCCACTGGCCGGCCACGCCAGGAGCCCGTAACGTGGCCCGCCCATCAGCACCAGTGCAGTCCTCCAGACACCTGCTCTGCACTTGGCGTTGCCATGGGGACGAGGGGGGTGAGTGGGTCACACCTGTCTGTGTTCACTC